GAAAAGTTACAATTTTTGAGCTGTAAGGATTTTAAGTTTAATGAGAGGGACCTAAAGGCGTGATCTGCCCTGTTGCTGAGCCTCCATGCCGTAACACCAGCTGCGGGGGTGGGGGGGGTGGTGGCAAAAGGCTGGAACCGAAAAACTGCACCATGCCATGGCTGGAATGGAAAAGCCAGCTGGAATTTTAAAAGCCGGGGGCTGCCCGCCATGGGCAGTTGCTATCCAGAGCCTGAATGGTGAAAACCGGCACAAACAGACAATTTACCCCTAAGTTATATTGAGGCCATTTTTTTGAAGAAAGACGGATAAGTGTGGAGGATTTTAAGTAAGGCATCAAAGCATGAGGCTGTATTTAGGCTGGGACAGCTTGCTTCCCATGGTCAAGGTTGTAAAAAACCCACAAAAACTGTGGCAACTCAAACCTACAGCGAGAACGGCTTCCCGTTTAGGCGAGATGCAGATGGAGCGAACACCCAGGACAATGTGGCCGGGCATCCGCGGTCCACATGTGGGGTGCTATGGGCCTAGCTGGTTCTGGGCAGATTGCTCAGAAAGCAGCGGCTAGGCTGCACCATAGCAGCCAACCATGAGAACGAAAAGAAGGAAGGAAAGGAATGAAAAAAGAGAAAGAGTAAGAACTGGGGACTCCGGGCCCCCAGGTGTGGGTATGCTGGGGGCTGGCCACGGCCAAGTCGTCTCAGGCACAGGCTTAATAGAGGATGCAAGCCATAACTGAATGCCAGTGAAGGGACCCCAGGCCCTGAAGGACTTCGGTTGGGGAAGTCCCCCTGACCCTAGAAGCACTGGGAGCTTCCAGGAGCTCACTGGTCAATTCTCGGGTTAAAAGAGTCGGTTAAACTGACCGAAATGGGGACATTCACGAATAGAGGCTGGTGTTGTTTGGCAGATGGAACACGTGGGTTGTTGTCAAGAAGGTCCTAGGTCCTGATCGTGCCCCGGGAGGGAGATTGGAGCCCCAGGCGGCGCCTGAAGCTGGAGCTCCGGCCCTGGGTGGAAATCTGGGGTTGGTGAATATCCAAGTCACGGCATCAAAAAATATTCCTTAAAAAATGCTGGCATGCCCCCGGCAGGCTCACAGAGCAGCCACTAGTTCAGCAGAGACAGTTGTGGGTCCCTGCAAGATCCCCAGGGGCCATGTGAACAGGTGGTGAGCTCACAGAGCAGCGGGAGCACGTCCTGGGCAGGCTAGTCCTGCCATGTGGCCGGGAGAGCAGGCAGCAGATAAAAGGCTTATAAGACATAGTAAATAAACATAAAGCTAAACATTTATTACTTAAAGGAGAGAGAGAGACAGAAAGACAGAGACAGAAAAAAGAGAGAGACAGAAAGACAGAGACACGTGTGTACATGTCAAGGGAAAAAATAGAAAGAGGCCAAGATGGGGAAGAGAGGTCAGAAGTCACTGGGAGTGGGCGTGGCTTGCCCCTAAAAGAGACCAGAGACTAAGAGGAATAACACTTTCTTCCTTCCTTCCTTCCTTTTCTTTTTTCTTTTTTCTTTATTTCTTCTTCGGTTTTTTAAACTTTATTAATTTTTCGTGGTTTTCACATCATGCATCTCAATCCCATCCATCTCCCCATCCTTATGTATCCTTATGTATCTACCCTTTGTAACCTCCCCCACTAAAATGAAATGAAATATAATTTAATAAGAAAGTAAAAGAAAGAAAAGGGAAAATCTCATTGTGGGAACTGTAGTGCGGCTCAGAGAGTCCCACAGTTTAACCTTTAGCCCATACATCTTTACTTGCAAGTGTTCATTGCAAAGAGTCCCTGGTCTGGTTCGAGGCCTCTGGTTTCTGCTACACTGTCAATGCTGGGACTCCTCTTGAATACCCTGCTGTTGCCCTGTGTTGTGAAGATCCTGCGGCTTTATACAAGCTAGCAGATTATAGATGGGATAGATGCTAGGGTGGGCCAGTTCAGAGCCCTGATTCTGGGCCTGGTGATTGTAGTGTGGGTCAGCCTGCTAGCTCTCCCTGACCCTTACCATAGGGGTTAACCTTCCAGCATTGCTCTGGGTAGTTCATAATGCAGCAGGGAAATGGGTGGTGCTGGTTCTCCTGCTTTCACACCCTCAGGGCTGACTCAGCCATACCTCAGCCACCAGGGCCAGCTCTATTGTGTTGCCCAGGCAAGGCCACTCTCCTGAGTGCTGCAGCTGGTGAGAGATGGGGCCAGCTCTCCCACCTGCCACTGAGCAGGTACAGGGCCTGCTCTCCTGAGTATTACAGCTGGCGAAGTGGCAGGGCCAGCTTGCCCATGCCCCCGAGAACAGGGTGAGCTCTATTGTTCTGCCCAGGTAAAGAGTAGGATCCACTCTTCTCAGTGCTGCTGCTCATGAGGAATAAGACCAGTTCTCCTTAGTGTTGCGGCCAGAGCGGGATGAGGGTAATAATTTTGTTCATCCCAATCCACTTGGCCTTCAGTGGTAATCGGAGCCATGGACATCAATGCAGACTGCAGCTGCAGCAGACATGGGTCTTGGCAGCAGCCCTGACCCAGAAATCACCAAGGCTCAAGGTGGCAAGTAAGCCACCTACTTAGGCCGCTCCTCATTGCCTTCACCTCGTCAGATCCGCCTCTCTCCACAGGATGTGACCATTCTGTCTCTGCCACTCTCACAGCTCACCATGTATTTGCTCACTATAATTGTGCTGAGCAGGCCCATGGTTTCTCCTTGCCCCAGGCAGGCATGTAGGTCTCCTTCTCCTGCAGTCATTATTTCTTAACAAAATTTGCCTGAAAATTAAATACTGGGAACTAGAGAGACGGATCAGTGGTTTAGAGCATTTCCTGTTCTTCCAGAGGAACCAGGTTAGATTCCCAGTACCCAATGTTCAGTTCACAACCATCTGGACCTCCAATCCCAGCAGATCAGAAGCCCTCTTCTGGCTTTCAGGAGTATTGCATGTGGGTCAAAGACAGAATTGCAAGCAAAAGATCTATCTATACTCTAAAAGAATTATAAATATATAAAGATAAAATAATTATATTAAAGAAATAATTTAATTTAAAATTAAATATTACCTCTAGATCTGACAGCTGAGTATGAATGCAATCTATAAATCCTTACACAGATATTTACTTTAATTCAAACTTAAATTGAAGCAGACAGTCCTGAAAAGGGTGTTATTTCTGAAAGTGTATGGCTTTCAGCAGTTGCTATAATCAAGGTGACCACTGTCTTACGAATGGATAATTTTGAGAATGAACAGAAATGCTGTTGATATTTATATCAGGACAGAAATAAACCTAAGACCGTCCCCAGGAAATCGGAATGGGGCTATAACCACAAGATCAGCCACACCCTTGTGTGACCTGACAACGACCTCACACTCATGAACCCATGAGCTGTGGTTGCCTGTGCAGATCAGGTCAGTCAAGATTCCAGCTGGAGAGGAGAGGGTTCCTAACTCCCCACCTCACTCTGAGGAGACATTGGCAGCTGGTGGCTGCTGGGGAAGGACAGTCCTTGTCTTTGGGGTTGTCTAACTGTAGTTGCCTGTGCTACAGAGGATGGTCCCACATCATTTGCAGATGGTTGGTACTAACTGAACTCAGTGGTTTTTCCCCATCACCTGGACTGTGTGTTATAAAACATAAATAAAGGGCAGAAAAGACGGCTCAAGGGTGAAGAACACTTGTTGCCAAGACCCAGGTTTGGCTCCCAGTACCTACATGGTGATTCACAACCATTTGTAATTGCAGTTCCAGGCTATCCTACCCCGATTCTGACCTCCACAGGAACCAGGCACACATATGATGCACATACATACTTGCGGGCAAAATACTCTTATAAATAAAAATACATAACTATTAAAAATATAAATAGCTGGGTGGTTATGGTGGTATATTATTTGTATTTTAATAAATAAATCTTGCCTGAAGACCAGAGGCAAAGCTAAAGTCACTAAAGGTCAGGTAATGGTGACACAAACCTTTAACCCCAGGATTTGGGAGACAGAGGCAGATGGATTTCTGTGAGTTCAAGGCCACCCTGGGATACACAAGATAATTCAGGAACAAATCCAGGTGTAGGTGCCTTGCACCTTTAATCCCAGTACTAGAGGAAATATAAAGTGAGAAGAGAGAAAGACTTGAGTCTGTTTAGTTTGCAGTCGCCCAGCCTTGTGAGAGGTAAGATTTCTCTAGTGGCTTGGAAGCTTTACTTTTCTACTTTTCAGGTTAAATCCCAGTTTCTGTCTCTGGGCTTTTGTTATTTGTGCTATAGGTGGTAGTGGCTCATGCCTTTAATCCCAGCACTTAGGAGTCAGAGGCAGGTGAGTTTGCGTTCACGGCCAGCCTAAACAGCTAGGATCCCCAGCACATACATAGTCTCTTCACTACTGGCTCTAACTCCAGTTTCCATGGGAGAGACAATATTTTCCTTTACCTCTGCAGGTACTAGGTATGCACACTGTGTATACACATACATGGAAGCAAAACACAATGTACATAAAATTAAGATAAACAAACCTAAGACATTGCAGTTAATTGAAAAATAAGCAGTTTAGTTTTTAATGACAGAAGAGAGGAGAGGTGTGGGGGATGGGGCTGGGAGAAAAGGGAGCCAGGGAAGTGGGGGAGAGAAGGGAAGAAGCAGTGTGATCCTGAGGACAAAAGAAGGGTTAAGAAGTGAAGTATTGAGCTACTGAAGGGTACATAGATGAGACTAGTGGAGACTTTCCTAGTGAAGATAAAGGAAACAGGTCAGGTAAGCTGGGGATCTAAGAAGTACAGAGACAGAGGAAGAAACTGGTAGCCCAAACAAATCAAAGGATGGCTCAGAAGACAGGTGGGGGAAAGTAAGAGATCTAGGGGGTTAGAACACCTCCCTGAAATGACACTTAGCCTCTCCACTCCCTACCTGTAGTAGAGTGAACTCTGACACTTGAATCTTCCGTTTTCAGACAACTGCTTTGTAAAGATAATTAAGTTCAAGGTCCAGGAAACCTTGCTATACATTATAGGAAGCAGGAACTCACAGTCTCTGTTTGCTCATGAGAGACAGTGAGGTAGGACTGACTGTTTTCTTCTCTTTACAATATTCCCCATTTAAAATTTCCACTTTTCTGTTGTTCATTTAATCTACCCCTTCTTCATTTTTTCTTCTCTAGTCTTCCAATTGAGAGGCTCTAAAGCCTCTCTGCTTCCTGTTTCATTTTCTCTTCCCAGTACTGGCACCTGCCTCGGACTTCTGGGCTTTCACATTTCAGATTAACCTTGCTGCTCCATCATGGCAAGCCTAAAGGGAGCCAGCAAACTACTGGAGGATGTGATCTGCCCCATCTGCATGGATATTCTACAGAATCCTGTCACCATTGACTGTGGGCACAACTTCTGCCTGCAGTGCATCAGTCAGGTTGGGAAAACTACAGAAAACCTCCAATGTCCGCTCTGCAAACTCCCTGTGAATAAGAATGCGTTCAGGCCCAATAAGCTGTTGGCTAGTATTGCAGAGAAAATCCAGGCTATGGATCCTGCTGAAGAACAAACAGAAGAAGAAACAAGATGTCCGAAGCACAAGGAAAAGATACATTACTTCTGTGAGAAGGATAAAGAATTCCTCTGCTTGGTGTGTCGTGACTCCAGGGACCACAAAACACACGAAGTTACTGTGTTAGATGAGGCTGCCCAGAACTACAAGGTAGGAACCTGCTTCCTTCTCTGACCCCAGCTCAGCAGAGTAGAACTCTCTGGGGACCAGGGAGCTCCTGCCTGTTCCATCTGGTTGGCACCCACTGCTGCACTCTTAACACTTGAGTTAGCAGTTTGCAGCTGGGCCCAGTGAGCTCAAAGGGCCAGGTTCTGGGAAATACCAATCTGTAAACAAGGCAAGAAGAATAATCAGAATAGTACTTTGGGGGCAGGGGAGATAATTCAGAGAATGAAGGCACTTGCCACCAAGTCTGAGGACTTGACTTTGACCCTCAGGATCACATAATGCAAAGAGAAAATTGGTTTGATCCCTGAGAAGGAAAGGGGGCTCTTAATAATGACATCTGAACCCTGGGATATCTTCCCTGCCTCCCTAGAATCAGAACCTGACTGAAGCATCCTCTCCCCACAGGTGCAGATTGAGACAGAGGTCCAGGTCTTGGGACAAAAGGACAAGGAAATAATTAAAGAGAAGAAGAAAGGTGAAGGAGCAATCCAGGTGTTCAGGGTAAGAAATATTCACTCCAAATATTTCTGGGGAAGATGAGCATCTCTGTTGAGGAAATGTTGAGCACTCTTTATACACCAGGCTGGGACAAAGTCCTGCTGACAAGTGGCGAGGGGCAGAGCAGAGGGTGTGGTGCCTGAGCCATGCTTCTGAGCTGTACTGACCTGAGCTGTACCTGCCTGGGTGCTGTTCCAGTGAACCAGGAGGGCTTCTGCTCCTCCACCCACAGCAGGCTTTGTAAGGACCACACACACACACACACACACACACACACACACCCTGACTCATACAAGCCCCTTTTGTTACCAGAGATTGATTACACAGTAAGGAAAGACAAGAGAATATGACACCACCAAATGTCTCCACCTGATTTTGTTTTTGTTTACTTTTTTAAAGGTTGTTTGCATTACCTTTATCTATGTGTATGTGTCTGTGTGAGTGAAAGTCATGTGTGTGCAAATCTTAGCAGAAACCAGAAGAACTGGAAATACAGATATTCGTGAGCTGCTCTTCAAAGGTGCTAGGAACTGAATTTAGGTTCTCTGGAAGAGCAGTAAGCATTCTTACCTCCTGCTTCATCTCTCCAGGTCCATCCATGGGAAATTCAGTGTGAAGGCAGTTAAACTGAGAAGAGTTCTCTCTCTCTCTGTCTCTCTCTCTGTCTCTCTCTCTTTCTCTCTCTTTCATTCATTTATGTTCTTTCCCACTGACTTTTAAGAATCTTTTATTGACTTGTTTTTAGATTTAATTTTATGTGAGAGAATGCCTTGCCTCCGTGTATGTATGTTCGTATACCAGGTGCATGTCTGGTACCCATGGAGATCAGAAGAGGGCATTGGATCCCTGGAACTGGAGTTAGGATGGTTGTGAGTGACCATGTGTGTTCTGGAAATTGAATCTGAGTCTTTTGCAAGAGTAACAAAGTCCCTTGCTGAGTCATATCTCCAGCTCCTAGACACAGTATCTTATGTAGCACAAGCTAGAAATTGTTATACAGTAAAATGGAGAATCACCTGAGATCTGCATCTCCACCCTCCTGGTATGGATCACGGCTCCATACCATCATGAGCTTGGGCAAGGGCCTAGGGGTTAAACACAAGACACACACACAGAGAGTCCGGGTCATTCGCCAAGATGTGAATGCCAATTTATTTAGCTTTATCCAGAGTTAATATACTTTCCCCCCAGTAATGGAAACCCCTCCCAGCCAGAGGGGGTTGGGGGAACTGGCGTCATGTGAAAACTTTTCTGCAGTCAGGTGGGCGAGAGGTGTGGGGCAGTGGCAGACAGGTGAGAGGGACCTTGGCGTCGTGGGCTCTCCCAGGCAGGTTGGGAAATTACCATTCCAAAGTAATACAAGACCCTAAGGCTAATTCACCAGGCTAGCAGAGCAGAGCACAGAATTTAGCAGGAAACTTAGCTGGTTAGACAAAACAGCCCTTGATTTGCATCCCAGGGAGCAAGGGAAAACAGGGGCCTACATGTCCCCCTTTTATATAAATTATATGACTAGGCCTATCTTGGGCGGCAATGAACGTCAGGCGAAAACTCCTTACCCGTCATGGGAAAGTATCCAGGTAAAAACACATTTCCTGTCTTAGGTTGAGGCCACCCCCCAAAACCTTACCCTTCATTGGCTTACTAGTCATTTATCACCAAGTTTAGCCAGATTTATGTTGAAAAATATTTTGGGGCAAATGTTAAAAGGATTTGTCATGTGACAACATTGACCTGAGTTAGCCTTTGGCTCTGGCATCATGAGATCATCAAGATGACGTTTCAGCACATATAAGCATTCCTAGAGGAGACTGTGCCTGTATAATCCTTAAAAAGTCTGCTCAAAAAGGAGCCTTTTAAGTAAGGACTTTAGCATTGGTGAAAAGATCCCCTGGAATAGCTAACTAGAATAATAATCAACAGCCAATTAGTAAATCTCGTATTTCAGGGTTCAAGAAGAACAGCAAAAGTTATCCTGACCAAGCAGAGGTAAAAAACCATAACCAATTGTAAAACTAACTGTAGTATTCAATTGTACATTTAGCTCAATTTGAATGATCATGGCATTTGCAACCTGCCCTGAGAAGGTACCCACAGTGTCTAGCAGAAGCAGCTGACAGGATAAGGGAAAAAACTGGGAGCAAGCCGCTTCTGGCGGCTGTAGCAATGACTGACAGATCCTGGGGAGGGAGCCGGAAAAGGGAAGGGTCCGTGGCTATGGGCCACCGCTGTTAGCTTTAGGAATCCAGTAGCTCTTTAGTCTGGCAGGTCGACTATGCCTGAATCTCTTGGTTTTGTCCCGTCTTTAGGCCTCTGGACAGGAGAATACATAGCATCCTGCGGGAAGACATAGACAAAACTTCCCTGCCCCAAAATTAGTACATGGTCTGGGAACCTGGTATCGAGTATCAACAGTCGAAAGGTTTAGAATGTATAAAATAAAAGACAAATGGTCCCTGGGAATGAAAGCATAATCCCCCTTTTTTGTTTTATGTAAATATGTTTTGAGTGTATGATGTATTTGTTTATACCTGATATAAGAGTAATAGAAAACTCAGAGCAAAATTTAGTAAATTCAGCGTTGGTGTAGGCTGGTCTTGAACTCGTAGAGATCTGTAGGTCTCTGTCTTTAAAGAGTAAATCCTACTGGCTTGCGCCATTGTAGCCAGCCTTTTATTTTGGTTGAATAACCATCCCGTAAACGGCAGGACAGTTTTTTTGAAGTGTCCTGACCTTTTGTAATGAAAACAATATTTAGATTTAGCTCTGTTTGGAACTTCCCTAGGGGCAGAAGCAGTTATCTGACTTAGTATGTGAATGTCTTTATATAATCGGATAAAATTATTAAAATTGTCATTTTTATGGGGGCATATAGCCTCCTGACAAAAATCTGTTAGCGTTTTTTATAGGCTAACCGCTCTATGGCTGGTACAGCCGAGCTTATATCTCTAAAAATATAACTTTACCTGTAGCAGGCGGTCAATAAACTCAGAGCAAAGTTTTGAAAATCCCTGGAGGGTCCTCTTGCTCCTTTGTCTGCAAACAACCCTTTTTGAAAAGAAAAAGTACCAGATCTAAAGACAGATGGTTGTGAGCCGCCATGTGGCTGCTGGGAACTGAACTCAGGACTTCTGGAAGAGCAGGCAGTATTTTAAACCTCTGAACCATCTTTCCAGCCTCCCATTATTAGGTAAAAATTTTCTTAAGCTTTGGTAGCCGTGGCGCTGTTGGCCCTGCCCGCTGCCACCGTCGCCTGGCTCATTAGCGTTTGCTATCACGGCCGCACTTTTCACTGTGGGCCCTCGCCGCTTGTCGTAGGCCGATGTGGTCAGCCTCTCTCAGCTGCTTTGTATCTCTCTCTCTCTCTTTGGCTTTAGGCGTATTGGCCGTTGGCACTTTTGTCCAGCCCGATGCGGCTCCCTAGCTATGGCGAAAACTCCTGGCCCTGTCCCAGGGGTATCGTGCACCTTGGCCATGGTGCATGCCCGTGGGCGGTCTCTGTGGCCCGCCACAGCTGTGGCCACCGGCTCCGAGACCCCTCGAGTTGCCAGTCGTGGTCACACAGCCCGCCGGAGTCCCACGTATGGGACGCGCGAGCATGGCCAGACAAAGGTGCAGCCCTGGCCCGGCCGAGTTCGCCCTGTCGGCCTCCACGCGTCTCAGTAACGGACTTCCGCTGGGCGCTAGCCATGCCAGCCTGTTCTCTTTAGTAAAAATTAAAGCCCCCTGCAAGTAAAAGTCATGGACTAAATTCTCTCAAAAAAATCAGGCAATTAACTATCCTACATAAAAGGAAACTGTTTTAAGGAACTCTCATGTTGTCTCAAACTTAATATTGGTGCCCATTCTCTCCCAAAGACCTACCAACACCTGTTTACCAGGACTTTACCCTGGAGCAGAAGTTCCCACACCCAAATGAGCCAATCCTGGCCAATCCACCCTCCGCAATTCACTTACCGCTGGCCAGCCTCCCGAGGGTGACTACCATGGAGATCCTTACCCCTCAAAACTCGCAGATGGGTTTTGTAGACGAGTGTTCTTTGGTTGCAGTCGCTTTCAATTGCCCACCCAGGGACGCCATTTGTAGAATCACCTGAGATCTGCATCACCACCCTCCTGGTATGGACCGTGGCTCCATACCACCATGAGCTTGGGCAAGGGCCTAGGGGTTAAACACAAGACACACACACACACACAGAGTCCGGGTCATTCGCCAAGAGGTGAATGCCAATTTATTTAGCTTTATCCAGAGTTAATATACTTTCCCCCCAGTAATGGAAACCCCTCCCAGCCAGAGGGGGTTGGGGGAACTGGCGTCATGTGAAAACTTTTCTGCAGTCATGTGGGTGAGAGGTGCGGGGCAGTGGCAGACAGATGAGAGGGACCTTGGCGCCGTGGGCTCTCCAGGGCAGGTGGGGAAATTACCATTCCAAAGTAATATAAGGCCCTATGGCTAATTCACCAGGCTAGCAGAGCAGAGCACAGAATTAAGCAGGAAGCTTAGCTGGTTAGCCAAAACAGTCCTTGATTTGCATCCCAGGGAGCAAGGGAAGACAGGGGCCTACATAAAAATGATATTCTTGATCTTCTGACCCTTTTGTCTTTCCCCCAGTACTGGAACTGCAGGGCTATAACAGCATTCCCTGACTATGCAGTGCTGAGAATGGAATCCAGGACTACACACATGCTAAGCAAGCACCCTGTCAACTGAACTACAACCTCATCCCAAGTTTTCTATGGTGGTTTCGTTTGCTTGTTGAGAGTGGGTCGAGTAGTCCAGGCTGGCCTGGAATGGAGGCTGGCCTTGGCTTCCTAAATCTCCTATCTGCACTTTCCAAGTGCTAAGATTTCTTAGTTGTGCATCTAACTGATGTCCTTGAAGGTAAAAAAAAAGTCATTTAGCCTAAATTATTGAACACAGGAAGTGCTTTTATCTCCTTGCCCCAACCTTCCCCCTTCCCACAGGTAAGCTCCAGCAAGCTGTTCTGAACCTGTCTCAGAATAATCCTTACATACTCCTAAAGAGTGAATGGTGTCAGATGGTGCATGCCCTTGATTCCAGCACTTAGGAGGCAGAGACAGATGGATCTCTATGAATACA